ACTCCCTGCAAATACTGTAAACCAACAACCAGTCATTAACCAACCATAACCACTCCCTGCAAATAATGTAAACCAACAACTAGTCATTAACTTACCATCACCACTCCCCAACAAAAAATTACAATTAGCAAAATATGCAGACTCAAGGACAATGAACATACAAATGGCCAACGGCTATGTACCTCACACAGCAAGCTCAGTCAAGAACCCCTGATGGACTGGTTTAAGTGTACATGTATATCCTATTTTGTGCCTGCATATTAAACGTAGTAACCTAGCCCCCTGCTGCAAAGTGCAATGCGTGTACATGTAGCAAACAATAACTGTACCAACTATGTGACTTTTTTATCTCTGTAAACAGGTCCAAAATAATTACCTGTGGCTCCGGTTAAACTATACAATACTAAAGTCGTTGATGGAATTTGCTTATAGGTTGCAGTACAATGGTACATACTATGTATTCACGCAAATTAACTTATGGTAAAAATGATCGGATTTTAATAACATTTTTTAGGCAAGCAGCTAACATATAGATGGATGATGTCTAATTTACCAAAACAAGATGTATGTAGTGCCAAATTCAATACCTCAGCATATCAATTCCAAAATATAAATTAGCAGATGCAACATTTCATACCGTAGCCTTGGCCTGGTCCCTCAGATGGCTCATACCCTGGACCCCTGACCTCTTTGGTGACATAACCTCCGTGGTCAAGATTGATTTCACCACCTGAGTACACGGCTACCAGGTGGGCAGCAGTGACATTGAAACGGTCATTGGATTTGAAGAGGCCTCCGCCATAAACCTTGAGGAAAGACAAGAAAATCTCAATATGGCACCATGCATGAACGACAGAGGGCACTCAGTTGCCTAGCAACAACTTTACTCTTTGTTGATATTACTGACATTGTAACACACCTCCCTGGTTGGAAAGACAGCACAGTCCACATGCTGATTTTGTTTATTTGATATGAGAGTACCAGTTTAAAGGGTAGACTGTTCTAAGGGTCCCCACTGTCACCGAAACTCTAAATAACATTGAAAGCACAAACCCGACTGTTGAAAATGTTGAGAGGAAAATATTGCAAGATGCAAAATGGCGAGACATTTTACACTTGATGAAAAAGGTTTCTCTTTGAAGCCATTCAATACAGGGGAACAAGGGAAACCATTTTGTAAGCAAAGCTGATCTGTTTCGTGTAATCTTGAAGGCACCCTTAAGAATTTCGCCAAATCTGTACCAAAATGAATATTGGCAAATGACACAGGTCTTTTGGGGGGCAAAGGTATTTTTGAATAACATCTCTCAGTTTTTATATGCATATTTTCGCACAATGAAGGTTTTCTTCTACATTACAGTTTCTAAGATAGGTCGCTCGGAATAGCTGAAAAATGCATTTCACCAAAGCAGTGTTTATTTATCCCCCAAACAAAATATAACCCTAATGAAAATGTTTATTTTAAAGTTTGGACTTTTCTGTCAGAAAGCTTACTAGCTCCTTGGCAGACCCAGTGTATCAACTTACTGTCATATTGGTGACATTAATGTCCATGCCAATGTCTTTGTCATATGAGAACAGCTCAAATCTTCCTCGGTCCTGTACATGAATCGATGACAGCTGGATCTCACCGGGAGCTGTGTAGGAACCCATGCTGCCATTGGTATCCACAGAAACGTACCCTCCATCGAAGACAAATAGGTCATCGATGCCCGTAACCTGTTGAAGTATTGAATTAAGAAAAGTGGGCTACTGTACCATTCTAAAGGCAGGTCCACAAATGAATGCAAACATGATCACATACTTGCACTGCACTGTGAGTTTGCAAAAGTTCAAAACACATTTCGGCTCAACAAATTTCACTGCAAATGTTTCATGCCAACAGATTCGCATTTTCAAGAAAACGGAAGTTCTTAGGCTAAACAACCATCATAGTTCAATTGTGCAAAATTAGCCTAAGCCTGAATTGCGTATTTTGTACCTGTGGCTTTGGCCTGTGCCATTAGCTTATCATAATGGAAATGCACAGCCATAGGCACAAAATGCCCATTTCTGAAGTAGCAGCTGTTGAGCTGTGACTTGTTCCAATTGGTTAAGGAGCAGTACAAATGAGCACAACTGTCTACCTTGCCTGATGTCTTCATTTGCACGCCTTTGAAGAAGGCTCGGCTAGGCATATTAATCTGTCCTGTCTCATAAATATGGCTGTTGACCGGAATGTCTGGATGCGTGACGTTGACAGTGACTTCTTGGGAGTAGCCAATGTGAAGGAAGCCTGAAGGAGAGAGAACACACAAGAGACTGCACTTTGCTTGTTCCACTGATTACAACAAATTTTTACTCGGTCACAGGTAAATTAAAAACTCAGCGTGACTGCCACTGGAGGTTGATTTGACATCAAAATCATAGATTGCACAATTCACCTGACTTACTCAATAGACCCTAACTTTGGTAAATTCCTAAGCATCAGTATTTGATGTGATGTAATAATTACGCATTAGTACTCGCATTCACAATTTTTCTAGTGACTTCTGAAGTGAAGAGAAAACAAAAAGCTATGACAATCTGAAATTTATCCTGAACATTAAAGCTGTAAAAAAAAATATATGCAAGCTAATATTCTGAGCATAATTAACCCCTGCATGGCAGGATTATTTTGACTGCGACTGCTGGGCTGTGGCATGCCATGAAAGGAGGTGCTTTGTTCAGCAGCAGGCCCCATTGAACCACCAGCTGCATGGTGAATAGACTGTATGTGTGGTATGCACTAATGCTCACACAAAGGTGCTGTAGTAGCAGTCTTCCGTAGTGAAGGGGTTAAAATTCTTCCACCCCAAAAAAAGAAAACAGCAATTCATAGTTGCAAGTGGGATGAGATTTTAAGGCAAGTGGTGATGCCGGCTGTAAATTAGCATTTCGATGTACCCGAAGTATCGCCAAACAGTTCTCCAATGTAGGCATCGACACCAGTGGTCAGGTCACCCAGGGGCATCATGGCTAGCTGGGCTCCGCCGGTGAGGTAGAGCTCATCAAACTCATAGGAGTTGGTTCCTGTTTCAGGTTCAATCCACGTACGAGCACTGTCTAGTTCTCTGTGCTGGTACCTAAAGGAATGAGACAAACGACAGCATGGGCACATGGCATCACTGAACAAATTCGGAATGCTACGTGGACTCGGTGCTGCATCTGTGGACTTTTCTGCTTTGCCAATTTGCATGGAGCAGCAGATAACTTAGTGTGAGCAGAGCAAGAAACCTGCAGTCATACACCAGGCATTATCTGACCACTGTAACCCTAAATGTCAGAGCTAAGACTACAATCTAGGTATGCTGGCTCATCTAACGTTGACAAAGGGTTGACTACAAAGCTCATGTTGTTTGAGCTCTTTTATGTGTCTAATTTTGTCCCCTGTTTGTCCACCATTTGTAGCTTGTGAATACAATGAAGAGCACAAGACCAAATTTCCTTTGAATGTACACAAGTCTTGCTGTTTTTGTGCGAGATGAATACACAAGACAGAAATGGCACAACTGTACGTGCTTATTACAGAAACCTTTTGCATTTCTGATGACGGTAACAATCTCCTGTCATATTTGAAGGTATGAGCACTGAAGGAAACAATAGGCCTTTTCCAATGAAATATTCAAATTAGACAGGCGCATGCACACTATTACCACTGGTTGGCAAGTGTAGCCGTTAAGACTGTCACCAGTGTAGCAGAACTGCTGTAACCATAACTTGGCGCTTCGGTCTATCAACATCGTATTACAGCCCTTTACTGATACATCAGCACACTTTTCTCGAAACTAAATGAACTTGCCAGTGTTATGAGGTTGGAAAGTAACCGTTCCTTGTCTTTAAATTATGTACTCATGTCAAACTATACTAGTACAGAAATGGGGGTGTATGTGCACATAGCTACGAGCATGGAGGTTTGTATTGTTACATCATTAATTTAAGCAACTTTGCCAACCAGTGGCAGTGATGTGCATGCGTCTACCTTACTGCATATTTCATGGGAAAGGTCCATTACTTGAATTTCATTCACACGATGAAAAATGAATAAATTCAAGTCATGAAATTTTCAAAAGTGACTCGTAGATCATCCACAAATTACCTCCGGCGTCTCACAAAGTACAAGCTGTGGTAAATTGGCTTAAACAAAATTCAACAATGCCCCAAATTTAAGTATCTACCTGTCGTAGACATTTGGGCCGCCAACGTAAATCTCAATTTCCGACATTGCTGCATAGTTGTTGCCCCCACCAAGAGTGCTCACTAGAGAAAACACCAATTGATTGGCATTCCATCGGACGGGCAGGTTGGCGAAGGAGCCAAAGTAGCAGGAGGAACTGGGCAGGACGAAGTTACTTGTGACATCTCTGGTGACGCCGTTCAGAGAAGATTGCACCTGTAAAAAATATGCAATCACCAAAAAACTTCACCGACATGATCTCCAGCGTTAGGACTAGCTGAAAGTGCTGAATGGTGATATGACACAAACTTGAATCACTGAATGTGGATGCCATTCTGAAAATGGAACCAAAGAACATATTGTGCATTTGTGCACATTCCAATGAAATTTGATGGTCTGTACTCTGCACTAAAAATCATGTAAAATAGCTTATTTCTTAAAAGATTATTTGTCCTGCAAGAAAATGCCTACAATTCCCAAGGTCCTAAGTTTTAAAAGTTGTGCTTATGATGCAATGTTTCACAACCGCAGTTTTGAGACACTCTGAGGTGAGATTTTTGACTGTTTAAATTTGGTATTGTGAGTAAAAATTGTGAACAGCTCAACTTTACATATTTACCTTAAATCGTGTTGGAAATTGGCAAACTGGGTACACCCTGATGGTGTTGAGGAAGTATTGCCCCTGAAGATTGATCGTGAGAGTGGCTGAGCTTGAAGAACTCAAGAAATATTGATGGATGTCATTATTCAGCGTCTGATCAAAGAGATAATGGAGTAAGTATGAGGTTCCATCATTTGGAAGACCATAGTAATGCGGATTGCGGTTGTACACAGCTCCTGAGGATGTCACTGTGATCCCAGACGAGGCGGTGTAAGACGTCGTCTTACTGTACGAAGCTGGGACATTACTGATGTCAAGACGCCAGCCTATGTTCTCGATCTCGTTGTTGATTGGATGCCATCCGGCATTGTCCACTCTAAGCACACTTAATTCAGTGTGAAGGTTCTTCAGGTAGAAAGTCCCAGATGCGCCAGCCTCGGCTTGGCCTTGGGTGGGGCCCCCTTGGACATTGTAGGCACCTTGGAAGAAGTCATGGGTCACGTTGCTGGTGTGGTAGACGGTGACACGTCCCCCGGAGCCACTGCCCCCTATGGAATCACCTGAGCCTCCCATGGCCTGTATAGCTCCAGTGTGGCCACCTAACAGAAAAAAGAAATGATACACCATCCAAAGCACGAATAAGCTACTAAGGCTAACACTCTGAATCAAACTCAAGGGGCTTCTTGATGCTGTAATAGTTGGCACAAGTAAATAATCCTCAAATGTTTTCTGAAGAATGCTACTCACTATAACATTTACATTTCCAAGTATCTGATGGCAGTGCCACAGAATTATAGAACTCATACTCGGGTACATTTCTGATACTCATACTCATGAAAATGTACTTGTACTCACATGAAAAAATCCCATGAAGTACTTATACATGCACCATTTTCCCGGAAAAGATTCCCAGTTTAGCGACATGTTTCCAATTTTCACAACCAAATTGCCACTGAACCTGCACAGCGTGGCAAAATGTTTTGTAACTGCAAGGAAGCTCTTATCATAACGCAGTTAAAGATTCCTTATTCTCCAAATTTAACAAGGATCCTGGTTGTATTTACAAAGAGCTAAAGAAATTCTGACTTCTAAGAGATTCCTTAAAGAACCAAGACATGAAAATGCACTTGTTTCACGATAGCACTTCAAGTTTAAAAACCGCTTCATGAGATTCTTCAGGGATCCAAAAGTGACAGAATTGGCACACAAGCTGCCACGTCCAAGTTTTTAATTTATTCTTCAGCAAACAAATAATTCCATTCTTCCGATCTTACAATCTCAACTCGAAATTCATTGCGGCCTTCTTTCAGAAGACTTAGATTCTTCTTCCCTTTGGAGGATACTGACCAGTCAGTGCCCCGGCGTAGATGAGAATACTGCCACCGCTGCCACCGGATGCCCCCGAAAAACTGTTCTGGATACCGATGTTCAGACTGTTCGCTTTAATATAACCATCCACACGCAAGATATCATCCACAGCAATGTCTAGTATCCCACCCCCTGGATAAAATAATCAGATGAAGAAGTCCTGTTTTAGTCAGTGTAATACAAAAACCGGACACTGCAAAGACTATTAAACATCACAGAAATGACATACGTATAGTCTTTCAGTTTCCTACAAAAGCGACCAGAACAAAAAACTTCAAGGATCAAAAGGTTTTCTGGTTCTTAATAACACACATTTCCTCTTAACAATAGTTCACTACGATAAAGCATAGTTTTCCTAACAAATCACTATGTACATGTAGATGTAACTAGATGCCGAATTCAACACTAGCATATGCATTCAATTTAATTCAATTACATTCAAATCCTCCTGTGGCAAAATACAGGTACTAACAATGTATTAGATAAATACAACCAGACACTGCTCATGTCAAACTGTTGATTTAAATAAGTAAAAAAGTTCAAGTTTGCACAAAAGTAAGGAAGTCACCATACCTATGCCACCTCTTGACCCAGCACCCCCACTGCCAAAGGAGGCAGGGTACAGCAGATCGCCGTATGGGAGGTTACGCTTCAGTCGACAGCTGGCAAACCCATCGCAAGCGCCACGTCCTCCTATGCCACCATGGGAAGCACCGCTGTTGCCAAGGCGATGGGCGACACCAGGTGCTGTTTTTATTCAAAGAAAGGAAGCCATTATGTGTTCAACCCTAGCTGAAGTGTGTAAAGATATCACTCTTTCCAAATGTTATTCTTATAGTCAAATTGGAGACAAGAAAGACGTGGCATAAATAGCCTGCATATAATGGCTCAAGCTTTTAACAGCTGTTTGCCTACTACACCAGATTTTACAATGAATTTTGACATAATAAGTTCCTATAAAAATCAGAGCTCTGGGCTGCCACAGCACATGGTTCAAGTGTGAAATTCAACATTGAGGCTGACAGTTTTTGAAAGTAAAAATTTCTGTTAGCAATTTATGATAATGGTTTAGGGCAACTTTTTCCTAACCTTGTCCAAGGCCTGTCAGGTATCCGCCATCGCTGACATCCACGTTACCTCCATCATCAACAGTCATGTTGTAATCACATTCGATCCTCAGGCTTTTTGCATATACCAGACCACCACCCTCAACACGCAGGTTCCCGGTGTGGAGCACATACTGTTCCAGGTGAGCAAACGGAGCTGAGAAGTTGGCAACACTGTTGGCTTTGACGATGACGGTCCCATTGTAGCGGTACTGAAGGCGTGGGAGGTCATTTGTCGATCCCGTCAGGTGAGATCGAAGCCAAGCACCATTGTATAAGGTGAGGTTGTGGATGTGGTCTAATCGTCCTTCAATGTTGATAAAAATCTCACTCATGACAGTGTCTGGAGCCAGACCAAGGTAACCAAGCTGGTAGATGTAAACACTGAAGGGTATGTCAATGTAATCCCGTTTGAGATCCATGACCTGGTTCGGTCCAATGTGGACTACTCCTGAGCGGTCGCCAATCATGTGCCGAAAGAAGAGAGAGCCACCAGCATCATAGGGATCCGTCTGGATAGCAAGATGTGCATTGCCATAGATTTGGAGCTCCTCAAAATGGTAGTTGTGGTCACCGCCGGCAAGGTGATGCTCACCGGACTGAGGGAGAAGCCAAGCCTTAAAGCTGTCCTGAGATATGTCTGCATGACTCGGGATCTTCCCGACAAACTGGCTCTCCAAGTTGGCATTCTCAACCAGAAGGGTCCGATGCTGATGTCCCAT